AGTCTGGGTCAAACTCTGGCTCACTGTCACAGAGCTCCGGATGGAAAAACCCAGATGGCTTGGGAGGAGCCGCAGCTTTTTTCCGTCGTCGACGGTGGCGCTGAGAAGGACCCGATGGTGGAGTGGGCTTCAGCGCCAGGTGAGTCCCCCAAAACTGCATGTTCCTCTGCTCCTCCTCCTCCACTAGAAGAGGTGATGGGAGGACCTCCACTTCCTGGTCACAGCCTCTTCTTCCCTGTCTCCTGGCAGGGTTCTTTCTCCCCCCCTCAAACGCCGAAAAATAATTCTCACTACTCAAAAAATCAAAATATTTCATCCTCCCGGTGAGTTCTTGTCGTGGCTGGATCATTCTGTTAGGTTGAGGTGCAGAATGAACCCAAATCCCGACGGAGGATGAGATTTAAATAAAAAGATTTATTTAAACAAACAAAACAAAGAGCTGTCAGGGCAGCAAAAATAAAACTAAAACTCTGAGGGACAACAGGGACAACAAGGACAACAAAACAGTAGGAGTAATCCATGTAATGATCCAGCGAGGAATGAACTGAAGAGAAGGGTATTTATACAGACTGAGGAATGAGGAAATGAGGAACACCTGGGAGTAGGACTGATTGGAGATAACAGGTGAGGCTGATTAAACAGCAGGAACCAGATTGAGGGGAATGTGTGATAACAATGAGGGAACACAAGAGGGAGATAACACAGACTGACAAAACACACATCCTCACAATGTGACATGATGCTTTGTCACAGCTTTGGACCAAGAATGCAGACAGATGAGGAGCAGGAGGAAACAAGTAAAACTTTATTTAAATAAAATCAAAGGCTAGAAAAACAGCACAAACAAGAAATTCGTGGAGGAAAATGGCTGAGGAGCACAAGGAGGCCTGAACTTGTGCCATGATAACAACAAAGCTCTATTGAGAGGAAGATGGAAAGATACTTAATATAAATGACTAACCTGATGAGGAAAGTGGAAACACCTGAGTTGAATGGTGATTGGGAACAGGTAAGAGTGGCTGTGGCAGGTTGACTGAAAAGTGGAATTGAGAGGGTCACCAATGGCACAAAGGGACAGGGAAACTGAAAGAATGAAAACACTAGTGAGTAATTACACATAGGAGTCACAAAATTCTAATAAACATATTCATGATGTACCACAAAATTACTACTAAACTAACAATAAAAAGATTGTTCCTTCATTTTCTACATGGGCAGTTCTATGTAGACTTAAATAAACATTATGGTGTTGTCATCAATCAAGGCTCGCCTTCAGCTGTCACCTACACTGGGTCCAAATTAAGGGTCTGGGTCCTTCAAAGGACCCGGCCTAACCATTCTAGGTGGGTCGGGTCCTTGGCCGACCATAAAGACTGGAAAAAAGTGGCTGTGAATTTGAACTGTCAAGCCTTCTGCTGTGTTCCCACCCTTACCACATTGTATGTCCTGTCACCTAGCAAATGTGACGGTGCTAAACAGAAGCAAAAATATATTGAGAAGACAAAAATATCATTATATTAGTGTTAATATCATGAAACAACAAAATTAGCTTAAAGGCGATATTTGAAAAACTAATGGACCCACCTTTTATTTCACAGTAACAGCTCATTTGATTTCTGACAAGAATAATATATAAAAAAATATGTCTATACAAATGACAAAAGCATTAACAACACAACCCCTGGAAACTTTTAATTTTTATACCACCAGATTCTTATTTAATGTTGTATTCTTTTCTCTCACTTTGTCCGCCATTCTAAACAGAAAAAAAAATTTTCCTGTTGGCCCACAACACATTGTGGGATAGGGTGGACCGAGAAGGATCCATCCGACCCGACCCTCAAACTGGGGAAAAGGGAGGACGCATTTCTGGACCGCATCGGAGGACTTTTTCAATTTGGACAGCCTCCGGCACTGTGACATAAGCCGCCAACAAATTTGGCCTTCAGAAAACGCAGCCCCTGAATTTGGACACAGCCCTTGACCACATTTTTTTCTGCTCTCGGAGGAGTAAGACACTTTTTCCTTCTCTCCTGCCCTTATCTTCCCTGCTTTGCTGCTTGGAGCCTTCTCTACATTTTTCATCCGAAACCAGAAATTATGGATATTTTTATTTTTATGGATTTGGTTAGCTGGTCTCTTAATAACATTTTAATTTAGATCGGCTCGGCGAAATTGTCCACACTATTTGTCTGATTGGATTTGCCACCTTGAGATGCACCAGCAGACATTAAAGCAAATGGAAAATGGTTATTGTCTGCCTGACTCTTCTGTTCCCAAAACAACTGATTACAGAATCTGGCTCTCCCCTACAACGGCCTTGATCTGTTGACTAAATTCTTCCTGGCTGGATTACGTCGATAAGGCTCTGCCCCACACCTCCCCCCCCCCCTTCCTTTCTCACCCGTTGGTTTCCTGAGCAGGCTGAGGGCCACACAGAATGAACAGTTACCATCAATATTCTGAACTATGGCTGCGCTGGTTTTGGGGACTGGATTCTTCGGGCCCCCTAATCTCACTCATCTGGCTAATAAATCTGCCCTTTGCATAGGTTTTTTCATAAACACCATAGTGTGTCACAATGTTGATATAATATGATGTTTTTGCTTTTTTCCTCTTCTTCCCTTGTGTGGTTTTTTAGTTTTTCTGTGTTGTTATTATGGTAGCGCAACTGTGTTTTGCTGCATGACCGGTCTTAAATGCCCCCTCCCCCCTTTCCCTGAATGTACAGCACCTTGTGATTTTATTTCTGTGAAAGGCGCTATACAAATTAAACTTTATTTACTTACTTACTTACTTGACCATATTTTAAGAAAACTGAAGCTAAAACTAGGATTATCTTTTAGAAATACTATGTCATGTTTGCCTCTTGTTGCTTGTAAACACCTTGTGTCTGCCACCTTCTCACCACTACTGGACTGTGGTGATGTTGATAACACGAATGGCCCGGCCAGCTCTCATACTGGATGTTGGACGTTGCCTATCATGGAGCCAGAATGTTGCCTATTGGGAGAACTTTGAGTTCAGTGTCTTCGATCACCCAAGAGAGGTAAGGTGACAGCTTCTGAGGGGTCTAAATTGTTTATTTTATGTGTGAAACGTGTGAAAATTACATTTCATGATTTATTATTTAATTTGTCTAATAAGAAATTAGTCAAATGGTTTAACAAACCTTATTATATTTTATAATTACAGGAGATCCTGCTAACAGGAGCTAGGGGTGACCCTAACCTTGTCAGTTTTGATAACAAATAGAAAACCTTGTTTCTTCACACCAATGTCCGAGTCCCTTCATTTGCGTTTGTCTTCTGTGCTGGTGCCCTTTTCCTTTCCTCTTCCCTTTTGGGATTTTTGTTTTACACAAAATTAAAGCACACATTTCTTCTGGTTTTGTATTGTGAAATCCAGCAGAAGAAATTTTAAGAACAATTAACATTTTAAAATAATCATCAGATTAGACATTTCACCACCAAAAATTAGCTCCACAATTTTGAAAGCGCTTATGTAAGTATTTAGGACTGCAACATCAAAAATGCTTATGTCATTGAAAAATTAGTGGAAGCTAGGTATCTAGCATATGTTCAATTGACGCTTACTAGCTGACAATTCATGTACAATATGCACAATACTGCCAGGGATCTGATTTCCTTAGACAGAACTTTGGCTCCTGGTGTGAAAATTAAAGTTGTTGAGGATTGCTAGTTTGGCTGCTTCTTTGTCTTTTTCTTTTGTTTGTTGTAGATTTTTCATCAAAGAAGCATCAATAAAGTAATTTTAAAATTGTTTATTGGAAAACTGAAGCGATGCATTCTGGGTACATGACGGACTGACGGGAAACGAAAGCACGGGGAACAGGAAACTAGATTCTTCCCTTCAAAATAAGAGCTTGGATTTTAAAGTTTTTCATGTTTCCATTGGATTTTAAAGTTTTCCAATTCACCTGAAACTTATCAGACTGAAGAAGTCTCTTGAAGGAGAGACAAAATGTTTCACTAAAGAAGAACCATCCAGAGGACCAACTTATTTTTTCTTTTTGATTTTTTCTACCTGGATTAGGATGTTTTCCATGTAGTTGCACCAGTTGACCACTAGATGTCAGTCTTCACCAGTATAACATCTTTAAATCATTTCTGAGTCTCTAACACCGTTGGCCGATTGCTTTTGAGCTCCAGCATTTAAACTTGTTTTTTTTTTAAAAAGGAGCTCCGATTGTAAAGTAAAATAAATAAATACATACAAAATTTTGTATGGATTACAAATGTTAACTGTTTTTGCTGTTGCCTTCCTGCTACGTAAGCAGACACAAAACATTGTGGGAAATCAGACAGTCAGCAACAGTCAGCAAGGATGTATACCTTCACAATAAGTGTGTTTATCTGGGAGGGGTGCTGTTGGATAGATCACATGTGTTGTGATTCATTGACAGCCATACCTTCTGCTGTTCAAGATAATGATGACTGGTAGATAATTAGTTAATAGCGGTACTGCATTTTAATTTTAGAAAGTGCAAATCTGCTTATGAATTATAATAATTAGTAAGACCGCTAAAGCATAAATTAAATATTTAGGTCCGCAATTAGTGGATTTGCACTTTAGTGGGCTGGTGCCCACCACTGCATTTCACTTATCATTTGATCCTTTTTCAAGCTAATCTAACACTGACAAAATTATTAAAATACTTCAGCTATGACCTGGATGAGAAAATCTAAACTAGGATATCACATTGAAAAATTACCTTATTTTCCTAAAAAGTATACAATATTTTTCTTACCATGTGATATATTTACTGTTTTTATTGTAAATAAAATAATGGTTGTTTATTGCAATGTTTTTATTTACATTTCACACAACATCCAGACTTTATTTTAAATTGGGGCTGTACAAGGCCACTCATATCTGAACCAAATTATATTTGTTGTCTTTGACCTGAAACAAACACTAGAGTTTCTTCAGCGAGTTTCACCTGTGAAAACATTTGAGAAAACCTTTTGTGTAATCCTGTGTGTGAATGTTTGGACTGTATTCTTGCTGCATTCATCCACTGACTGGCCCTCTGCATCACAACTGGCTTCTCTCTGCTTATTTCAAATGATTTTGCTGCTAATCAAACATAATTGACTCACTATCTCAGTGCTCTTTGCAGCCCTGCTCACCCGTTTTCACCCTCACCCATCCTCACCCCTTTCCTGCTCGCCCTCAGCAGAGAGCCTGTTGCCAAGGCGACCAGCATCTAATTTCTGAAGTGTCAGTTTACATTTTTGTCTTCACGCTTTCCAGCAATAACCTCTCTCCTCTTTCCCCCTCTGCGGTGTGTTTGTCGGTTGCTCTGCTGCAAAAACGCACAATCCTCACACACGAGCTACACACTCCTCCTCTCAGGCTGTGCAGTGTTTCCTCTGTGGCCTCCCGCACCTTATCCTTTACATTTTTTTCTTTCAGCACCATCGCCTTGAATTCCTTCTCTTTTCTGCACACAGAGTG